AAAACAGAGCTGTTTGGCAGGACTTACACTGCTCTAAGGCAGAGGGAAGGCTCAAAGGACAAATGATGGCCAAAAAACGGGTTCTGCCTTCCTACCTGGTCTTTGCTAAACCTGTTGGCTGACAGCAACCAGGGGCTGTCAGCAACTCTTGTGATGGTCAGTGAGAATAAAAGCAACTTTTGAAGAGATTTCTTCACTTCAAAAGTTCCCACTGTTCCCTGGCCCCTCACTGTTGGAGGCCATGGGGAGACACCAACATTTTCCTTCCCTCCCACTCAAAGGCTCTGTCAGCATAGGGCAGGTGGCCCTGAGGAGGGAAGAGCCAACACCTGCTACTCCTTTTCTGTGGGTAAGTCCAGAGTTCAGCTGCTGCAATGCCAGTCAGTCCAGCTCTTTTAATGAGCCCTGTAATTGGTGAAAATGAGCCCGAAGTGGCCAGACAAAATCATCTCGCTGAGGGGCACTATCAGGAAAGCATTAGGAAAGTTGTGCATTTGGAGGCATAGGATGCACTGACTCTACCAGCTGAGCCAAGCAGAGCCAAGGAGCCAGGCTGCTGGCAGCACCTGCCCTACAGGTGAGTGCAGAGCTGAATCCAGCTGCAGCCTCAGTCCAGACTTCATATCAAGTGGCTCCAAACAGTTCCAGTCTCCATGTTTGGAGCCCACAGGCAGATCTCAAACAGGGACTGCACAAAACTTCTGGTTGAAGCTGCAGTTCAGGAATTGGAATGGTGTGGAGTGGAAGTGTTTTTTCAAACTAATGGAAGTTTTGTCTACATATTTCTTCCCCCACATGAAGGTCATCAAATGTTCATGCGCCAAATGTTAGAATTGATGCCATCCTAATGAACTCTGAAAACATTTTCCTGTCAAAGCAAATAGAACAAGTTGACATCACTGATCCCAGCATCGACCAAAGAGGAAAAACAAACAAACCATCAGTTAAAAAACCAGAAGGGTTTTTGTGCTCTGAGTTCAAGGATGTGAGTCCAGCAGTGCAATGACAAAGGGGAGCACGGTGCAGATGACAAAAGGGTTACACTCACCGCAAAGGGAGCCGGTCCTGAGGAAAAAAATATTGCCTCAGCATCAAGGTCAGGAATATCTGGGCTCCCCCTGCTCCTGCTGTGTGGCACACGAGATCCCTTGTGTCTGAGCTGTGCTGGATTATTACCTGTAACATGTGCCACAGGCTAGGACCTGAGTGGAGAGTGAAACCTAGAACTAAACCCCGTCAGAAGTTGCAAAATGATTACTCTTAAAAGCAAGCCAGCAGCTCTCAACTTGTCTACCGAGAAAGTTTTCCTCTACTTAAGCTGCCTGAACTTGCAGCCTTCTCTTCCTCCATCTCCCAGAGGATCTCCCAAACCATCTATCCAAGTATAAACCATGGAATGGCAGCCCTACTACAACTGGATGCAAGTACAAAGGAAGCATATCTTACAGCTACGCTGCTAAATTGGGGTTTGGGAAATCCAGAGACATTTCTTCCTTCTAACACAGGATTCCTCTCTGTCCCTTGGCAAACTCATGAAATCATTCCACATGGGAAATAACCATACCTTCTCCTTTGCCTCTCCTGCTTGTTCAGAAGTTTGGGGGACAGCTCATCTTGCTGTGCACTGTTTCTTGCAAAGAAATGTCAGACCACAACCTCTGTAGGTAGCTGGGTGTGGTCAGTATACAAATAATTAAAGCTAATTTTACCAGTCCCACAGCACAAAGGAAGACACAGACTTTCTGCAGTGTGCACAGTGGGTATGCAAGTGGGTATTTTCACCTGGTGAAAGCAGGTAGGTGCCAAGAACTGATGAAGTCCCAATAGTAACATTTCTCTTCTTCTCTGGCCATTTTGTTAAGGGGATTTTTCACAGAAATTGCTGTAGGATACAGGTCCTGTTGAAAAGTACAGCATTAAATTTGGGAATAATGACAAAGGAACCAGACCAGAATTGAAAGGATGATACATATTTTGTTGTCCTTGCATCAAATACATTCCCATTTTATGCGCTGTTTTAATTTCCAGCTCTCCCATGCTCACCCTGTGCCTTCACCCATGTTTTTTTGAACTGAAAGGTATTATCTCATCTCCCATTTCTCCAAAAGTCACTTCTAATCTCAGTCACTCTCCAGCCCTGCAGTTTTCCTTCTCCTTGACAAGCCTGACCACTTAAATTTCTATCAGCTCAGACAACATTTTCCCACACCCCTTTCTGTTCCTATCTCATTTCTTCCCCTTCCAGTTTTTGTGATGCCATCATACATCTATGCCAGCGCACAGAGCATGCAGCAGCAGACATATAGATCCTGACTGTGCTCAGAAAAGGGGAAAGGTTGAAGTGAATAAAACCCCTTGTATGAGTGATTTCCTTGCTTGCTATACCACAGTGAGCTGTGCTTTCATATACTGTGATGGATGTGAGTTATGGGTCACTCCCTCACTTGTGAAAATAAATGTACAACACTTGCCAATTGTTATACTGTATTTTACAAAATTCTATCATTTAAGATTTATGCACTTAGCAGACCAATCACACAAACAATACAGGTACAGCACAACAGCTCTACTACCAGGGTTTTTTTTCCTCGTTGAGAGAGACAGACACACAATCACCCTTAGCCACAAAGTGCTGCTGCATTATCCAGAGGGGGACATTTTATGGACAAAGAGTTTATCATATCCAGAATTTGCCTTGGGTGCAGCAGACTTAGCATGTGTTAAGTAATGCTTAAGTGATTTGCTGAAGTGGCCTAATAGCACAAAACACTCCTGGCTCTATTTGCTTATAGATACATTTCAAGGCACTGGCTGAAGTCTGCAGTGCCCTAAATGGTCTGGGACACAGTTATATAAGAGATATCATCTTTCCTTATAAATTTTATGTGGTAATTGAGAATTACCAGTTGGTTTCTTTTCCTGGGTGGACAGTGGGATGTCTTAAATGGGAGATATGTGAGCCTGGAACCTGTCCTCATCAGCCTTTGGACAGAACAGTTCTCCAGAGGACTTTTTCAAGGAGAAATATGAAGCTGGTCCCTTCAGTGTGACAAAAATCAGTTTCATTCATCTCTTGAATGATCTTTCACATCATGTATGTTAGAAAGAGAGCCTGGCTGAAACTGGCCACGTGTTCAGAAAAGCTATTCCAGAAACCTTTTTCTCTTTCTCCTGTAACCACAGAACCAGTGTAAAAGTGCAAAAGTTGCACTCTTGCACGCGCCACATGTGCCACGAGGTCTGAGCTGTTCTTGCATCCAGGTGATATCACCAGAGAGACTGGAAACCCTTGCTGATCCCATCTCCTGAAGGCTCCCTTAAAATCCTCAAAATCCTCACAGTGCCACTGGCACACCTTAGCTAAAGAGTGTCCTGACCACCTGTATTTTATTTACAGCCATGTGCTCCATTTCAGCTTCACTGTCACTGGCAGGGGCTGCTGAAGCACTGGATGCCCTTATCTGCTTTCCTCAGAGAAACAGATAAGTAAAACACATAAGGGTTTTAAGATTAAATGCTACAAACACAGATTAAATTACATGAACTTCATTTCTTTAAGGAACTCTTTCTCATGACATTTTGTTACGAGTTCCAGAATGATTTCTACTTCCACTCACATTTAGAAACATTTAAAACACAGCAGAAAGGGAATGCATTAGAGGACAGAACTGGCCACGTGGACTTCAGGCCTGCCCCCCCAGCCATTCCTGAACCTCAGCTGAGCCCACCCAGGGCAGGACTCCCTCTCCAGGGGAGAACCAGAGGGGTCCCCAGCAGTGGGGAAAGGTGACTGTGGCACAGCCTCTTCTCAAAACCAAAACACTGACTCTTAGGACGACCAAGAATGAAAGTGTTGCCTTCATCTCTGTGTCCATGACGCCAGCAGAGACTGTCTGGTCACCTTCTTGAGAGGAACCTTGATTCAGGAAGGTTGCCCTGATGAAAAGCAACATAGAAAGGCAAATAGCCACCCACAAGCTAACAGCCTCAGTGGGTTGTTTTGCTGTTTGCTTTAGTTCACTGGCTTAAAAGGGTCAGCAACCCTCATCCTGAGGACCCTGTTAGTGAAGTAGTTTTGAACAAAACATATAATTAACCTTTGGAACTCACTGTAGCAAGATATCATTGAGGAAGCACGTGAGAAAGATTTTAGGGTTTTTTAAAAGGAGCATAAATAAGCAACTCTAAGGACACCAATATCAGTGTTTTTACTACAGAGAATTCACTGGCTACAGCCACCAAACACTGTGCTCCTAAGAATCAAGAATGAACAAAACCTGGGACTAATAATAAATTCTTTACTCACTAAGTGGTAGGTGAATAAAACAGGCAAAAACAGTAAGATGAATCCAGTCTGCTGAGAGTCTTCAGAAGGTGCCACTCCCAGAGGCAGGAACACATTCACTTACTTTCTAGCTCCCATGTGATGGCTCTTCACAGCCTTAGAATGATTAACCAAATCTACATAAACCCAGGCTGACCATAAGGATCTAACAGGCAAGCTGAAAGCAATATACATCCAGAGAAGATTTTAAAGAATCAGGAACCAAGTGAAAACGTTTTGTTTTACTGTGCAGGAGACTCACATGGCTTCTGCTAAGAAGGACCCAACTACCAAACCTATCTGAGAATGGCACCCTTCAAATGACTTCTATCAGAAAAACTGTAAAATCCCTGAGTTAAAGGGACAGGGCAGCAGACAGGAGACATCAGATACTTGGAATGCACTGACATTTGGAATACCTTGAAGCAGTAAGACTCACAACTCTCCCCCAGTACAGGGAAGGTCTGAAATGTGCAGCGCAGGCTGAACCAGCAGCATTCTGGCAGTGAGAGTGTGTGGAAAGGATCTGTGCAGACAGGATGCCACAAATTCTCCCATTTTGTTACCATTAGTATAAGAATAATCAAGAAAACACATCTTTAGCACTACTGAGTGAACTTAGCAGACAGGTAGAAATCGTACACCATTAGAAACCTAGTGTCATGTAACTGGCTACCTGGCATTCACAGGGCTCTCCTCATCCTGGATCCCTTCACATTCATCAGTCCATTCCAGCTTTGAACAGGTAAGCCTTTAGGTTTGATCCAAGGGCTGTTCACAAGCTAAAAAATAAAAAATAAATTGTGGTTTTGACTTTAGCTCTTCTCAATTCAAAGCCTAAATGTCGTTGTGTGTAGTGATGTGGAAAAAACCCAAACCTTAACAAAAGCCCCTACAGCCCCGTGAAACACAGGAAGGGAAACTATGCTGTGAGTTCTGACATTAATAAAAACACAAATGGATTGATTCTAGAGAATTTATTGAATAAAATTTAGTTAGGGTCCTTTTGTTTTGTTTTGTTTTAACGATTGCACACCACTTAATTTTTATGAGCTTGATTATGCCTTTAAGGCACATTCCAGCAGAGGGCTGAGGTGAAAAAGCCTCTCCAGGGAGGATGCAGCAGAAGGAAAAGCCTCTGGGATGTGCAGGAGTTCAGCTAATCCTTTCTAGCCATGTGTTCAGCATTACCTACTTGCAGCTTTTGCACTTCCCAGTGGAAAAGCAAATCTTTGGGCCAATGGTTTGGAAGTTTCTGCCTCCTTCAGACCGCTGTGCCCAAGTGTGAAAGGGGGCTGATCTAAATCCCCATCAAGCCTAACATCTGCTGGCTTTTTTGTGAAGAAGTTATTCTACTTAGGGACCCGGTCCCGTCACCAAACCCTGGAACTTCTCAGGAAGGATGGAGATTATGTACCTCCTGTATTGCACGGCAGTCAACGCTTGCAAGTTCATAAAAACTCTACATTTCTCACTCTAGAGAATGTATTAGAACTTGAAACACTGAAAATGTTTAAGAACTAAGAGTGGACTGGTCCTCTCACCTGCCCAAGAGACCAAGTCGTAACTAACACTGAGGGTCTGAAGCTCTCCCACCCCAAGGCTACTGTACCTCAATCTCGATAAGCAGGTGCTCCTTCCACTTCACTTGCCAACTAAGAGGACTGCTCACCTCCTCAGTGAACAAACTTTTAGCAATTGGTAAGAAAACCCACTAGAAATGGCATAAAACATTGTTCATAGTGTTTGAGACCCTTGAAACAACTCCAAAGCAAATGCCACCAGGTGCTAAAACGATTCCAGTTCCTCAAATGCAGCTTCCTTCCCTTTAGTGCTCTTGCATATTGAAATGTACAGCAATTCAAGTCCTTGCTTTAATCCATGAGTGCAAGAACATTTCCTTCAGACTCACTTTGAGAGAGAATTTTGGAGTCCTAATATACAGCGTGCACCACCTGGTCTTCCCAGGGTCTGCCATCACAGTCCTTGGAGCAAGCCACCAGGCCCAGGTCTGTGCAGCAGCTACCATGCCAGCCCTTCTGGGGAGAGGTGCCCCAAGCCACAGCCAGTTTCTGGAGTGGGTCAGGTGTCGGCTCAGCTTCTCCAGAGCAGCTCCCAGAGCTGCTGAAGGCTGTCTGACTCTCTAGTTAGGGCACAGTTCCTTGAGTCAGCTCCCTGAGGTGGCCATGTGGCGCGAGGGCAGCAGAGGGACAGACCTACTGCTTGTGTTCCTGGGCTGCTCCAGCTGAGCTGCCCCACATCCTCTCCTGCCTCCTGCCTGTGTATATAGGAGTTGTGTGTGTTGGGCATTCAGTCCCTGTTTTCCTTCCTTTTGCCCCCATCTTCCCTCTACTTTGTGTCCCAGCCAAACTCTGTATTACAAGGAGCGTTTGGAAAGGCCAAAAAAAAAATAAAAGTCAACCCGGGCAGATCAGTGGGGAAATTCAAGCTGAATTTAGAAACAAACTCAGAATGAATGAGAAATGCCCATATTTACTGTTAATTCCTAGAAATCCTTCACTGTCCCGCCGACAGGGATGGGCAGCAGCCTGTATCCCGGCGCCCTGGCGGAATCGGTCGCGATGGTACCCAGGAGAGCCTCTGAGCAGAGCCTCAGAGCTGCCACCCAGGAGGGCTCCTCCAAGGTGAGGGATAAAGGAACAGCAGGGCTGATACTGTGGCTAATGTGGCACAAGGTTCCCTGGGCACAACGAGCCCCAGCTAATGAACGCACTGCCCCAAGTGCAAACAAGCCAGGAAAGGTTCTGTTTTCAAAGCAAATGCATTGCACTTCAATGGAGATTTTTTTTCTCCCCCCCCCAAAAAAGTTTTAATATACACACTAAATTAAGCTTGAGAAAAGGGGACATTTCATCTTTAATCTATTTACTTCTGAATATTTAACATACAATTCTGGCACCAATCACCAGATTTAACTGGAAAATTACTCACTAATCTGTTTGCTTATTTGGAATAATTGGGTAGGCTGCCAGGGAAGAGGATTTCCTACCCTGTTTAATATCTCAGTTAGTAGTCCAATTTCAGCTTGGCGGCATAATTACTCTGACAGAGCTGTAGCCACAGGGCCTGTGAGTGGGGCTGCTTTTTAAACCGTAAATTATGGAGGATTAGCATTTATGAATTTTAAATCAGGGCTGTGGTAGGAGACACTAAAGCTGCTTAGAGCTTGCAAACCACTGCATTCAATCACCAGTCATTAACACATTCCTTCCCAGGACTTTCTGCAATCACATTTAATGAAAAGGTATTTTCTAATTTGCTTTAAAATATTGTGGCTCTGTGTCTCCAGTGTAGCACCAGGGATAGGGAGATGCACTTTCCCAGCACAAAAGCACCACAATTCAATTTGACCTTGGTTTACTCCCACATAAGATGTTAAAGTGGTTATCTCCTCTGCTTGAACTCTACCATTTCTTCTACCAGATGGATAACACGTGGTTTGGTCCCCACTAAAACAATTAAAAATATTAAAAACTGCTGAAAATCAGAGCAGCAATGTGGCTGATTGGCAGAGATCTGAACTCTGCCGTCCCCATAGCTCAGGAGCTTTGGCTTGTGAGCTCTCCACTGTTGTGTTTGCCTGTCAGGCTCACGATGAATCATTATGGGGTAAATCCTTCCTTTGATGTAGGCATGTAACTTCTTTTAAGGCCAATGAGAGTTATGTACACGCACTGAGGGCAGAATATTTCATGCCCTGAAGAAGTCTTAGGGAAAAAAACCTGCCAAAAATCACACCGCTTTGAACTTCGAAGTTGCTCCGCTTGGGAGTCTAAAGAGCTCTGAAGCCCTAAGACATGCATCCAAATGCAAATGCTGAGCCCTTCTTACTCCTAAACATGTGCATCTCTCCCTCTGGGAGCCTACAGTTCAGCAAGGGGCTTGTGGTAGTCCTTCACATGACCCTTTCCAAGACCAAAGGCAAATACAGGAAATCTATGATTTTTACACAGTTTTCATACATTAAAGTATATCTCTATATGTTAATAAAAATTCATCGCTATGGAGAGACTCCTATCACAAAACAGATGACAGGAGTAAAAGTTATATGTAACAAAAAAAGAGAAAAAAGGTGGCAAATTGGACAGAGCAAAACTCGAGCCAGCATCTGTCACTAAAACCTGATGAAAGCACAGTTTAAAGGGGAGCCTAAGTGAACTCCTCCCACAGTACCCCTGTGCAATTAGCCCAGAAATCAGAAGAGCTCTGTGCTCTCAAAGCCACCTCAGGGAAGGGGCAGACGGAATTCCCTGGATTGCTCAGCCATGGGGATTTGTACACCCTCCTCAGAGTCACTCAGCACTGACCTCTGACACAAGCAGGGTACCAGCTGATGATGCATTACGCTGCAATCAACAGTGCTATTCACTGGAGCAACCAGATGATTTAAGGTTCCCAAACCTCATTGAAAGTCGCTGGAAATTAGGCACTTTGAAAAGTCGACACTTTTGAAAATGCCTTTTAATCTCCTAAATTACTCATGCTTTTGAAAACTTTACTCATGCTAAGTACTTTGGGGGCCTCAGTCAGTGAAAGCTAAACTGAAAGACGCTAAGGAAGGACCATTTACACAGAGCCCTGCTCAGCCCTTATCTCTCCTCTATCCTCCTGGCAACAATAGACAGAAGGAAAACGGAGCTCTTGGCAACACCAGCCTTGTGCCAAGAATTAGTCTGACAGAGTGGCAGGTCCCCAGACCCTATTAAGGCTACTCAGACAGATGGATTTTTTTCCCCTACTGCACCCTGAGTAGGCTTTTTCTAGCTGACCTCCCTCCTCTGAAGGCTGAGTGGTATCACCACTTCTCCCCAAACTGCAAGATGCAGCCTTTACTATAAGAAAAACAATTTGGTCACTCCTCGAAAAGTGCAAACTGTCCATGTCTCCATGCAGCTCCATGCATTGCTCCTTCTAACCTCTCTTTGCCTGCACAGAGCTGAAAAGCATTTCCTAGTTCTGCTTTCTGATTGCACCACAGCATTCTCACTGATTATTTTCTGTGTTTTCTCTGTATACACATACAACAGGGGGGCAAATGTTCCCTGGGCAGGGGAGAAGCAGCAACATCTGTGCAGCATTCAGAGCCTGAGAGGTGCTTCTGAGCAGTTTTTGCCCCTTTGAGGAGCAGTTAAGGGCAAGGAATGAGCATGCACAGGTGAGCAGGATGAAATACTCCCTTCACAATATATAGGAGGCTTATTGAGTGCTGCTTGTCTAGATCATGAATTGGTGCTTCAGGAGTTGGCAAGGCCTTGGTTGGAGCTGTGTCTGAGCCTGGTGCATGTCAGGACTCACCTGGTCCCTAAAAAACCAGAGCAATGCTCAGCCTCTAAATATGAGGGCTATTCTTCAACTGAGCCCAGTGATCCACCTGCACCTCATCTAAACACCTCTTCAAACACACTCATCCGTGTCATCTGTCACCCTGTGGGAGGGGACAGAGGCACATTAGAAGGAACTGGGGGAAAAAAGCCACTTCAGTCTCTGTGCATTGTTTGGAAAAGCACCAAGCAGCAGGACATTCCCCAAGGGGCTGCTCGAGCTGGCTTTGGGAGCGTTGCTGTGATCTCTGCAGAGACAGCATAAGGGCTACAACGGAGGCCAGATTCAAAACCCTGACAATCAAAGTCTGAAAGGAAAAAACCCAAATGATTTAGACTCCTACACAGCATCTCTAAGAAGTTTCAATCCCTCAGCATTTGGGCAAAGAGCTAAGGCACTTTCTTTTTCCCCTCTGTAGTGTGCAATTGCCTCAAAATGT